CCTTCCATCCTTTTCTCGGACTGGGACCTGTTCATATACGTTCTTGGCAGATGATCCAGAAGTGGTTTGCCATTGCCTTCTTCTGTGTGTGAATGGAGTAATTGTTGGGATGCCCCGGAGGAAAACTCCGTGTTGCCTAGACCACGGCCTTGCCCAACACAAGTTATAAATTCGAAACCGAGACCGCTAGGCCACTGTGGCTTGAATGTGGCGTAGTGATGTAAATTGTTAGTTATTACATAGGTCTGTTACAACGACACATTGGAAGTATGCAATACAGTACATGGAAAGAAACACTAATTACTCTGAATCTTTCACACCTTCGCACTCTAAATTAACTTCAAGGCACAAAATGTTTCTTGAGAAGGTGACAGTTTTTCAGCTGATCAAGAATAACTCCGTCTTTCAGGAAGCCAGGAAATACAGCTTTATTTTCACAAGAGGTCGCCACTAGACCCCATTGACGCCTTGGCCTCCCGAATTTTCTATCCGTTCAATAATATAAATACTGTGAATAAATATGAGTTGTACTTTTAATATTTATTTAGGATATGGAGAAAGGATTCGTGTTTATAAAATATTCCGAACCAATCTCTGTTAAAAATTTATTCTGCATTTGTAGAATTCGTTACAATCTTACTCAAAGGGATACATAGAGAGTGAGTCAGAAGTATGTTTATTCCAGGATCAAACATAAGGAAAAAAGTTCCTATGAACATGGGCTCGCAAATGTTTCATGTTCGAAATAATAGCCAAAAATAAGTTTCAATTAATAACTTTATATCAAAGTGAATCCATTTTCCAGCAAAGATTTTCAATTAACGTTTGGGCAGGAATAGTTGGCACATGCTTCCATCTCGTCTAATAGAAAGTTCATATCGGTGATCCTTAAGAAGACATTTGCCGCGTCTCCCTGAAGATGTACCACTGAATACAAGAAGACAAACGTGGTTTATGTACGACAGAGCCCCAGCACACTTCTCCCATAGCGTCAGAGATCATCTCAATGAACAGTACACTCAGCGATGGATTCGGCGTGGTGGCCCAGTAACATGGCCACCGAGGTCACTGGACCTGACTCCATTGGACTTTTTTACCTGTGGAGTGACTTGAAGTCCGTCGTTTATGCAACAACCTATGGGAACGTGTGCAGAATGCATGCCAGATGATTCGAGGAAACCCTGGTCAGTCTTGTGTACGTCGTGCTCGGGCTTATGTCGAGAATGGAGAAACAACCTTTAAGCATCTGTTATAAAGAAACATCCCTGTCCTTATACTTGGCAATAAAGGCATACATTGAAAATTATTTTTGGCTATTATTTTGAAAAAGAAGCATTTGTGACCCCATGTTTATAGGAACATTATTCTTATTTTCAATCCAGGAACACGCACACAAAGTTTGTAAACATACTTCTGACTCACGCTGTATTATAAAACATCATATGTCAAGTTTTATTTAATATAATGCAATATGCTGTAACGTGAGAAAATGTTATGTAATACGACAATTATAATATGAAAAGTTTTTACGTGTTAATTCCTTACAGGGTAGAATTATTTTGTGTTTTCATTTACTGTTCTTTAGCGAAATGAAAATAATATTACATTTTATAACGCATTAAATTTAAATTATTTCGTTGCGTTAATACTCCTGTTTTGCGTCGCGGGCTACCAATCAGTTGTTTTTCATTGCAAGGGCAGGTAACTTAACGCAAGAATTTTTGAACATACACCAGGGTTTTTATATATCAGTAACGAAAATTATAATAATATATTCGATTATTTGTGCCTTTAGTGGGAGACTTATATGTTGGCGGTGTCTCGCGGCAGATTTAGGTGTTCTACTATATATAAGCAGCTAACTGAATATAGGTATAATTTAGACTAGAGCGGGATATGGTAGAGAATAGCGTGGGAAATTTAAGCGACTGCTGTCTGTAAGTGTCCGTGTGACAATGCTGGTTTCCTGTTTCCGTGTTTCGTGCTCCTGTGTCTTTTCAGTTTGTGGCGTGTGCTGTGATTGAATGTGGTACATTATTAAACGCATATTTTCTTACTGCGTTTTAATTTCTTCAGTGTGTGTTTCCGGAATGAACCAGAAACGTAGACCTAAACAGTGGAACTGGAACCGCCCACATTGACAGCCGGGCTGCAGCAACCAAGGTAAATATTTCATTTCCATAATTTATGTGTACTGCATCACTCTGAATACTACGTATCATTTGCACTGGATTTGTTATGATTTTGAAGTTGCGCGAGTAAGAAAATGGTGTAACTGTAGGCCTGCCTCCAAACGGACAACGACCACATTGCTCAAAATCCTTCAGAAATGTGTAATAATGGATTGTCAACACATTTAATTTGACGGTTTATAACCTGAATTCTTGAATCGAACAGCGATATTATATGATTAAAGAATCAATTAAACCTCACTAGAACCCACTGCCTACCAGGGTAGCGAGAACCTGACATACTTTTTGTTCCGCGTGATTAAGGTCGTTCATACATCGTAAGCAACATTTTTGGTTTGGAAGTCGTTCTTATCTTCCTGCCTTGCAATTTTAAGCGCCTGATACCGGTATAAAACAGGCCTAACTGTAATTTCAATTTTGAAATACCTGGTAGAACGGTCGAGAGAGGAATATATTGTTATATCCTTTCTATTGTTGTGACTGTCTGAGGTTATGTCTTTGTGGATCCGTGAACCTTGGGAAGTGTACATATAATTTGTAGGATAAATTATGCTAAACTTGCTGACAGAATAAGGATTTGATTCTTGTACCATTCTAGTTCATTAGACTGATATCATTAAGATAAGAATGAAACAAAAACATGTTTACTATCCAGCCTATCTTATTTTTAAAGAAAACAGTTGAAAATACTTCTGCACCAGTTATCGGGTATTTTTATTAAACAAAACTATATGCTGGATAACAAATCATATCGTCTTTAAACAAAATTACATTAATCTTATTTTGTTAAATTTTAATTAATAAACATTTGAAAACATTTCTGTCTCTTAGAAAACAATGTTTATTGAGATTTAAAGTTCTCCCATTGTTTAAGATGTCAGTGATGGTCTTCTGGGTTGTAATGCTGCATGGAGTTGTAGGTAGTTACCAACATTTTGGAGGAACATACTGCCTCCATCTTCAGCACTGAACGGCATTACAACCTAGAAGCCCAGCATTAACTGTGTGGTTACTGTTGAGTATTGCATCCTAATCATAGTAAAGATTACACAGTTAGTTTCAGTATCTTTGGTAGTCGGACCATTTTCATCTGACTTTGTTTTCAAACCATCTCACAACACAGAAGACTAGTATTTCTCGGAGTTTGATAGCAGATATTTAGGGTTATAAAGAGCACCACAGTTATTCAGTAGTTTATTTTTTGAGGAAGGCATTATTGAAGAAATAGTAATTATAATTCTGCACTAGGCAGTTGCCTAGGGTACCAAAATTTTTTTGGAGTGGGGGGAAGACAAAAACTGATTTATAAAAAAGAATGAGAAATAGCATCAAATAGAATAAAAGCAAAGGTACTTGTGGGTTATCGGGACACATCACTTTAAAAATAGGTTAGGTTAGGTTAATGTATGTGGATAAATGACATATACTTGAAAGTTATTATATTTTATTTCAATAAATGACAACCAACATAACCTAACTTATTTTTAAAGCGATGTGTCCCGATAACCCACAAGTACCAAAGCAAAATGTAGTCTAAAAGTAGAAAAAATAAATGTGTGTGCAGTTTTGTAGTATGCCACCAAAAACACTTGGTATCATTTACAAATGGTGGATGTGAGTGTGTAGTTAAGTGGACGAAGTGACCTGACAAAACGTGATCCAAGACTAAAACATTGAGCATTATTGGGATATTAGATGATGATTGAAATATATTTTCTTTGAAAGAAATTAAAGTTTTGCATTTTTAATAATTTGAGGTCAAATTTAAGTTTGTCTACCTTCACAATTTCTTCTGCCAGTTCTAAATCTATGCGGCATATCATTCAAAAGGGAATGTAATCAGCTTTTCAACATTGTTTGATTTAGACCTCTAGACCTAAGATGGCCAAAGTCACTGCCATTAAAGGGACAGCAACGTTTGCTCAAAATTAATGAATTTTTGAAAATTTCAGACTATCAAAATTTCAGATATATTTCACTTAAGGCATTAAAAATTATGAAACTTGAATCCTCGAAACCTAATACCTCTGCAGTTTTCATGCAGTTTTGTAGAGATGGGGTTGTGAACTGTGTTGATTTGTCATGGAATGACATTGTGGTCTTCTGTGTTGTAACTATAGTGTCAGTATAAAGACAGAATGTCTGAACATCAGGATTTTCCTATTCTTCCGTATTGACATAAGACAATAATATTAAGTGGGGATTTCTGTCTTCTGGGTTGTTGCGCTGTGTAGTCTGGTCGATGTTTACCAATGTTTCAGAGGTCATACTGCCTCCGTCATCAGAGTATGAAGATTTCTGTCTTCTGGGTTGTTGCGCTGTG